GCTGCGCACGCTACTTTTTTTAGCAGTGGTTTTGGGGGTTTTTTTGACACCAGGATCTCCCAGTGTCAACTCCCCCCCCCCGCTAGTTAATGGGTGGATATGTGCAGTTTGCAGTACCTCAAATGTGTTTTGGGTGCTGTAAATGGCATGTGCGTGGATATGCCTAGGGAGTCCAGTATATTTATGAGTAACTATTCAATCAGAAAGAAAGGAATTGCTATTTTTCAGTCTTAGGTGCACACTTGCTTTGTGACTGAAATGTATTAGTCCCACAGTGGCAAAAATGTACCTACATACAAAGCTAAGCAGACAAAGGTGAAATATGCTTGTGTGTTATATTTTTTCAGTGTGGTAAGGTGGAGTAAAGGACACTTCTCAGCCCCAGGTTACCTTCCCTGGTTGCAGATGAGTAGTGACTTTATAATAGTTACTTGTTCTTTACCAACCTGACCAAGAGAGAAATGGTGGTTTATGGTGATAGAAAAAAACCGGAAAGAATAGCCAAGAAATTTCATAACGTAGTCAAAAGGTATTCGTTTGTAACATGGAGGTGCTGATATCACCTTAAAAATTATGTCCCTAGATTTGAATCAAGTTTTTTCAGTCCTGGAAAGAGCTGAATTGACAGGCTACTCTGTGAAAAATAATAGCAGCTACAACCTGAACTTTGTGAAAATTGCATGTGGTCACCAGGCTTGTGGCATTAACATGCAACATAGCTCTTGGGTAGACAAGGTCATGATAGCAAAGGCCTATATGATTTATAGAAGCCTAAACACGGTTACAGTTCACTCCATTATTGTGGGGTAGCAGTTTCCATTACAGTATATTTCACCTTTTCCTGAAGCATCTGACATTTTCCAGTGACTCAGATAGATAGGATGTCCTGGAACAAGGTGCTGAGATGGCAAATCGTATGTCCCAAATTCTCCTTCCCACAATTTATAGATGGAAAAAGGCAGTATTTATAAATGCTGCTGCTCAGTCACAGCCTTGAGTTTAGACACTAAAGTAATCTCCCCCAGCCCATTCAGTTTCACCTCTGTAATTTTCCAGGTCTCTGAAAGGAGTCACCCCAACATCACCTTCATAATGGATGCTCCCTATTGAACCACTGGGCTAGCTCCAATTTTATCTTCCTTAAGTAACCATCAAAAACATCCAAATATAAGGAAACTATTATTGAAATAAGATAGGGAAGTTACTTGGCATTCCCTTTTTTAATATAGATTTGTCACTGTGTTTGGGGACATCCATCAATGCTCTCAGCTGGCTGCTCTTGAGAAGGGTCACAGATCGAGTCAAGTCTTCAATAAATCTCACCTCTTAGAACATGCTGTGCACAGATTTGTCAGTTACTATGTAGAGTTTTAAAGAAACAGAAAAGTCTAGGCATCATCTAAGCATATAGTCCAACTGGGCTTTGTCTTATTGTGCCAAAGTTCAGAACTCTTTGAAGAAGAGCAGGCAGATTAGTCTGGTGTCTAAGCAATGTAGTGTACACTCTAACTTGTAACCAGAAATGTAATTTTGGAATTATCATTGCATATTCCTCTGCAAAATATTTTTGATTGACACAAAATCAATGACAAGCATTTGGAACTGACAAGCCGTACGACCGCAGGACTTTAATCTGTAGTTCCCCCTCTGGGACGTACAGGTGTCCCTTGTATCAGAGGTGGCCATCACAAAACTGGAAGTTTGATTTGGGGGATGATCCAGCCCCTTCTGAAACCTGTTGGGCTCAAGAAGCCAATGGATCTTAGGGAATCATGGAATGGAGCCACGTCACTAGTTCCTTGTTTACCGTGGCCTTGTTAAAGCTCCCTGGACTCAGGACCATGGAGTGGGTAGCAGGAAGAAGTTCTGAATATTCATCTTTCTGGGAAAGGGCATCTGCCTTACTGTTCTTGGTGCCAGGGTGGTAAGTGGCAGTAAAATTAAACTGGGTAAAGAACAGAAACAAGAGCCAGATCCAGTGGAAATTCCAGGCGGTCTGTGAATATTCTAGATTTTTATGGTTACTTAGTATCTGTACTGAGAACTGAGCCCCTTCTAAATGGCACCACCATTATTTAAAAGTTGCCTTGATGGCTAGAAGCTCCCAGTCCATATTATAATTGTGCTTGGCAGGGGACAGTTTCCTGGAAAAGTAGCGTATGGCTAAGGAAGTCCCTGCATCCCCAATGGTTGATCCAGTACCGCCCCAAAGGCACAGCTGAGGCATCATTTTCCACCAGGAAAGGCTGGGGCAGCGTCAGGGTGTATCAAAATGGGGGCTGAGTTGAAGGCTTTATTGAGCCTCTTGAAGGCAGCCTGGGCCTCCAGGGTCCATGTAAAGCATGCCCCTTTCTTAAGGAGGGCAGTGATAAGGACTACATGCCTGGAAAACCCCTTGATGAACTACCTATAGAAACTGGCAAAACCAAGGAAGCACTGCACTCCATGGGCAACTTTTGGTGATTGCCAGTCTAAGATGGTAGTTACTTCCTTCAGGTCCATAGACAACCCTTCAGGCTTCATCAGATAGACCAAGAACTTGATATCTGTCTTATCAAATTCACGTTTCTCCAACTTAGAATCTTTCTAACTACAAAGGCAGTCAAATACTGCTATCTTGGGATTCATCAAGTCTCTTTCATTGGAGGCTTTTAAAAACAGGTGTCAGAGATCCTGTCTCAGCATAGAGCGGTAGATTAGATGATCTCCTGTGGTCCTTTCTAGCCCTACACATTTATGATTCTCATGCAGTATATTTAGTTTATTTCTTGGGAATTTAGTATGCGTGACAGGCACTATACTGATAACTCACAGGAAGGAAACTAGCCGAACGAGAGTGGAGTGCAGTACACAAAAGTTTGTGCTGGTGCTGCTTTGCTGTACTTGTTCTATCAAGTAAGCACCTGTTTCGAACGGTGTCAGTTGGGCATCTTGCAAGGACATGAAATTTCACTTAAAAATGAAGTTAAATAGGATGAGATGTAAAACATCATCACATGCTTCTCAAAACTATTTCTATGTTCTAATTAAGTCTTGCCTATATGGCGCTTGGGTTTAAAATTCTTCTGACATCTGTTGCTTTAGTGTGAAGGAAAAAATTAACAAGCCAGCCAAGAACTATTGTAACCAAAAGATTCTTAGGTATGATTTTATCTATTAGCTTGATGAATATAGTCAACACTATAGATTTCATATACCTTTGGCAGACAGCAATTTCTTGTAGTGAGTAGCCATGTGATCTTGAATGATGTACTGACTTGACAGATTGCAGGAGGATCCAGGGGAAAAAGCTGTGAGAATAACATTTTATTTCAGTCAACAGGCTAAGAATGTCTCAGATAATAATAGCTTTAAAATGTTTAAACATTTGGTCCGCTCTGCTTGTGATGGAAAAACATTTACTTTATCTTATTTTTTCACATAGGAAACATGGCAAGAAAGAGTTATAAATTATTGCAGTTTTGTGTGTTTCTGAATACTTGAAAATTATGGTTTGCAATGCATAATGTATGAGTACTGCATTTGTATTCCTATTAAATCACCACTTATGTATGCATTAATCTTTGCCATTATAGTTCTCTGGAGAATATGGGTTTGTTATTTAATCTTCACTACAATATGAATCTCTGCAATTTAAAAGATTTAATACTAGAGACTGGAACATAGGATTGGAAAGAAATGTGTATACATGTCTTTAAACAACTCCCACAACAATACTGAGCTAATTTCTACCCTCGGTTACATATAAAACACACTGGCATTGTGAATGTGGTTGAATAGATGCAAATATAGGCAGATTGACCCAGTGACTGAGGCTGGAATGGAGAGTGGAAATATATTCCCCACTATTTGATGATGACATTCCTTGGACCCTCTAACCTGCAGGATATCTAAAATATTCAGACTGAACTATTCTGATGGTCTACAATACCATCATTTCTTTGACTTCTGAGCCATGTCCAAAATGTTTTGATGTTTCCCTTGTGATGTTCAAAACTTTTTCCTCTCTATGTTATCCCTTGGCCCTCATATTTGCTCAAATGCCAAGTGCCAACACCTCTTCTCCATACCTGGTATATTTTCTGTCCCTGCTCCACTACTTAGAGAATTTAGTTCTACTCCACTATTCTCCATGATTTCAGCCCCATTTCTCTCTGACTCTGAGACTCCTCTCCTCAAAACTTACCTTGTAATTAGAGATGAGCTGAAGTAAAAACCAAGACTAAACCTCATTCTTAATTTTTAATAAGTACATTCAAAATCCAAAGCAGATTGAGACTTAAATGTTACAGTTGGCCCTTATTCAAATGGGCCAAACCAAAATCTCTGATGCATACAATCCCAAACATGAGGGGATGTCAGTATCTATATCCCAATCTGAATTTTTCAGCTTGGTTATGGTTCTCCTTAAATACTCTACTTTAACTTGCAATAAAGTGAGTTTCTCTTGGCCTTAAAGGTTTAGTGAAAGCTAAGTGCGTACAAAGGACCTGACCATGCACTTATTATTGGACCATGATGGGAGCACGACTGGTAACAAGCACTACACCTGGTTGGCAGAATTGGATTTTGAGTATTTTTCTGCTTCAAAGTTAGGTAGAATTTTTCCTTACTCTGACAAAATTTGCTTCTGATGAATTATTGCTGGTTTGTGGCAAACTGCCAAAAGAGATGCAGAAACAAATGAAAGCATGCTTCTATGTATTATGTAGGACTAATGTTGAGGTTGGTATGGATCCCAATTGCATTCAGCCTTGATTGTGCACCAAGAACCCTGCAGGTGGCTCTTTAGGTCCATGCGGGGCAGGGGGAGGTATTCTTAATAAAAAATAACATCAGATAATTTTTACTATGGTATTTTAATGTTAGTGCAGTTCGCTGCTCACTCCATACAGACTGAATGATATATATTTGAGTGGCAGAGGAAGCTTAAATGAATTTTGTCTAAAAAAGTAATGATCTCTTCATTCTGTTTTAACTATGTATTTTTTCCATCCCAGATTCGCCCTCCAGACATGACAGATTCTGTAGGACAGTCTTCAGCAGGTGATATCAAACTTATTATGGGATGTGGGGAATCAAATCTGCCCTTGGCTGATAAATCTACAGATGCTGAAAAGTCCTTAAATCAGGATAATTAGCCCAACCTTTTCAGATTTGGCTTTGTGGCTCGGCAATGATTGGCTATTTTATTCCCTATATCCCCAGGCTGCAGTTTTAGTTAATGGTTTAGTTTCAAACTTTTGATGGAAGTCTGAAAGAGATGTATACAGAATTAAAAGTCTGGAATTTCTTAGTCCTAACCTTGTTTTTGTTTCTTTCTTTTTTCCTTTGTAACCTTCTCTATTTCTAGTTTGCCATCTATCATGCATCTATCAGATGAGGATAATGCTGCTTACAATATCTACCTCTGTCATGGGGGTATGGCTAGGCTTTATTAATTTTTGTATAGCACTTTGAGTATATAAACCAGTATAAAAGAAAAAGAATCAGGAGATGGATGTGCCACCATTTTTCCTTTTGTTGCTTACATGTGTTTTAGAACTTGTTACTGCAACTGATGGTTTAAAGGCCAGTGACAAGGTGTAATGGGGTCCTGGCCCCTACCCCATCATGGAAGATGAGTGAGCCAGGGAGCAACCAGCCAGCTCCAGGGCCCTGGAGAAACTGTTAGAGGAGTGGAGAGGCCTTTAAGAAAAATGGCTGCTCACCCTAGGTCGAGAAGGCACAATTAGGGCTATGATTGACAAGTCTGGCAGGGAAAGTGGCAGGTCAGGTGACCTAAAGGGGTGTGTCTACAGGCTTCATAAAGCCAGGACCATCGCTGAGGACTCAGATTAGCTTGGATCTGCCATGGCAAAGGAGCTCCAGACCACAGGGGGTAAAGGAAACTCAACAGCCCCAGGCATTGCAGTTAAGTGTTTTTTGTGAATTTTAAAAGTGGGGTGAATTTTAGTTTGGTAGCATCTAGCTTATACTTGTGCTTAAGTTTACACTGGAGGACTGAGAAAGTGGCTGCGAGGGAGGCTTGGAGGCTGCAGGGAATGCCTAGAGACTTGCTGCCACTGCTGCTGGAAAACTAGACTGCAAACTGGGGATCGGAGCCTGTGACCAGAACTGTATGAGTAGGCCTAGAAAGACCCCCATAAAGGCAGAGGGCAAGAGCGAGCCCAAAGCCCCACAGACTGTATGAGCAGGCCGAGCCCAATAAGGTAAGACTGGGGCCAAGGGGCCCAGAGCCTGGGAGGGTGAGACCTGTGCTGGGGCCCAGGCGCCAAGGTCCACGGCAGTGGACTTGGGCTGACGGACCCAATCAAAGTAAAAGAGCCAAGGCTGCAGTCCAAACAAAGATTTAAGGCCTGAGGGGCTAAGTGCATGTTGAGGGCCAGGGACTCCAAAACTATGCCAAGTGACACCTGTGAGGCATCTACATGACTAGAGGGGAAGATGGAGGTCACAATTCTAGCCCTTAAGGCAATTAGAGCAGTAGGGCTCAAGCCCCAGAGATGAAGAGATTGCGTGATGAGGATAGGAAGAGCACCCTGAGCTCATTGGTTCCTGTGGGCAGCCTCCCCACTTGACTTTAACATTGTGGCATGACAGGTGAGACAGCAGGGTTGGAACCTGAGAGGCTGGAATGGGCAAGTAAGGCAGGATCAAGGCAACCACTAGAGAGCAATATGGCTGCCCTCGGAGCCTGCCCTGCTACACAAAGGATTTAGCAAGAAAGTTCTGCTGTCTTCAGTGGGATATTTGTGTGCAGCAGCAAACCCAAAGACAGCCAGCTTTAGAAACAGGGCTCTGGAACCCCCGCCCTGACAAAATGCAGAGATGTACTTGGAACATACAAGCACAAGCCAAAGGTTTATTAAGAGGCCATTACATTATTAAGAGGCCATTACATTATTGAGGGGCAAAGCAGTACATACTATATGGCTCATAGACGTTGACATAAATATAGGCAGACAAGGTTCCTTGGGTGAATCTGTTATCTTTTATTAGACCAACCCAAATAGTTGGAAAATAGTTATTAGGCAAGCTTTCGGGTTCAAAAACCCTTCGTCAGGCTAAGGAAGTTTCAGCAGTTGGTGTGTGCTCTTCCTGGATAGAATGAAAAGTAAAGAAGCCAGCGGCTGGGCTGGTATGCATACAAGACAGGTAGTCAGTGAAAATATAGATTGAGGAGTCAATGGGTGAGAGACAGGCTGGGGGGAAGGAGGGGGAAGAGAGAAAAAGGGGATGAAAATGGAGAGATACCTGGGGAGTCCTTAGACCAACATGGCTACAACCTACACCCCTATAACATTGACATAAATATCTAATACAAGACTGCTATAAAATACCTTAGGATTTTGAGTGCAAAAGTACAGGCTATGCTATATTTATTCAGAATAAGTACCACTTTACAGATAAGTAGTAGGAATGTCACAATGTGATATGAGGCAAAGACATGTAAATCTAGATTTTTACTCTGTTTGGTGAGAAATTATGACTATATATGTGGTCTAATTTTAGTCAATGAAAGCACTCATGAGTAAATACAATAGTAAGAATAAGAGTTTTAATATCAGGGCCATAAAATTTCATAGTTCTTGCAGACAAGGTTCCTTGGGTGAATTTGATATCTTTTATTAGACCAACCCAAATGGTTGGAGAATAGTTATTAAGCAAGCTTTCGAGTTCAAAAACCCTTTGTCAGGCTAAGGAAGTTTCAGCAGTTGGTGTGTGCTCTTCCTGGATGGAATGAAAAGTAGTTCTTGCAGGCATTTTATAGTTGCAAAAACTCTAAAAGCAAAATATTACAGAGTTTTTGCCAGTTAAGCCCTATCATCACACTGGCAAAAGTTATACCATAATCAGGATAAAATATAAGTAAATGTAAGACCACATTCCTAGCTGGTATAAACAGTAGTAGCTCCATTGACTTCAATCAGTGGATATGTTATGATTTGAAATTAGTATGTGATCTGAACTGTTGTCACTAAAGAAAGAAAATAACATTCTGAGTAATGCCATAATTTCTCCCTGATATGGAGTGAGAGGCTGATTTTAATACATATAGAGAAAAAGGAGCATGACAAAAACAGTGTGATAATATCAATAATATCAGGAGATTAAAACTGGCTCAAATTCACTTACATGAGGAACATCCTTCTGGAAATGAATTATAGCTGGAACATGAAAGGCTGAAGATGTACAATGTGGTAAAACTATAATCGTTTAATTTCTTATCTTTTATAGAAACTGACACTTTCTTGGATCAGCAAAATCAATTTTCATGTATAGCAAGCTAAATTGCAGATGTTGCCACATTAATAAATAATAAAACGGAGCAAGGAAGTCTCTACTGATGATTTCCCAGTGATCTAAAGGAAAACAGTTGGCCTTTCTGTGTCCCAGTTCCCCATTCTAAAATAAGCATATGGATGCTTCTTTATCTCACAGTGGGATTGTGAGGATAATCCAAGTTGGTGACATAGTTAGATACTATAGTAAATGTGGGCCACAAGTGTGCCCACTAGACACCTATGTGAAAGAGAGACAGTGGCTTAGTTTGGACATACCAACAAATTAGCTCATTAGAATCAGGGGTGTATTTGGTATCCAGTTGGTCTAATAAAAGGTATCATTTTGGAACCAGGAGTTCTAGTTTTTTGTATGTCTAATTTGAATCAGGATTTTTTGTTTTAAATCTTCAAATATTTAAGTTGCTGGGGAAAAAATACAGGAGCTGTGGTAACCCCTATTAAAATTATGCTGAGGTCTGCATATAACCTGGCTCCAACAGGAGATTTAAACAGTTGTGTATCCTTATATAGTCCTTTTGCTCATTAAAAAAAAAAGTCAACCCTAATTCTGGGTTAACTACTGGGAGGCTATGAAGAGTTTTTATAGATGTATAAAATATTCAGAAAATTGTTTGTCTAAGCCCTTGAAAAATTCAAGACTTAGAATTTTTCTACATTTTATTTATATACATACGCATGCACACAGATTCATCTAATGGAAATCCGGAGAATGATTCATGTTTTCTTTGGGTGCTAAAGCAGTATGCTTTTTTCACTAAAAAGGATCTATTTTTTCCTATATCAGAAAAGATCCAGAAAATACTGATAGGAATGAGGTACAAAGAACAAAAATAATAATATCATCCCTGGTTTCTATTTTTTTTTTGTTTTGTTTTGTTTTTTTGTTTTTGTTTTTTTTTGTTTTTGTTTTTTTGTTGCAATGGCTCACAGGTAGTACTGTCATTTAATTGATCTAGTTGTGTCATGACTAATCTATCTAGCCTCTATTAATTGTGCTGCAGTACACTGTTCTGCACATCATGTCTGAAGATTAATCTACTACTATAAATCTGGAAGTTGCACTTCTGGTTTCTGATACACACTGACAGTGATAAAACGTCTTTTTTTATATGGCTAAAAACTCAATATGTGGTGTTTTGAAAAGCACCTGAGGTGATTTGGATCCTCACTAGGCTGTTGACTCAAAACACTTTATTCTTGTCCTTTTTCTGTTAAAATTCTTCTGATCTGCTTGCATAAGACAGTAGTAAGTCATCTTTTTTGGTCATGCATTCTTATAAGGGTAGTGTAATTTTACTGTAGTTACACTGCAATTAACTGTACATAGCAGCATACTTTAATAGGTGCAACTACCACTATTTTCTGAAACCAGAAAGTTCAAAATATGACTGCAATTAGTGAACAAAAAATATCTCTAGTGACAATGTAAACTGTATCAGCATATACCTTATCCACTCAAAACTTTAAAATGCATAGAAATAAGAAGTTAAGGGGAAAGGCACATGTATTCATTTCCACCTTCATTTTGCCTATCATATTGTTGCTAATGCACCGTGGCTCTTTCCTAAAGCTTTCACTACCACTGCTGATTTGATATCAAATAGCAACTAATGACCACTGTAGTAGTGGTGTCCATTTGTGACTGTCTGTCCTTTGAGAACTGGACTGAGACCAGTGGCATAACTAAGAGCATCTTTACACATGCTCCGGGGTGGGAGTGGGGGGACACTTTAATTGGAGCAGCTCTCGGGAGCTGCTCTAATTAAAGTGACATCAGTATCTCGTGTATTCAGTGTCTTGTGCTTCAAAATGGCTACAGGGGTGCTTTTAACTAAAGCTCGTTCAGTGAGCTTTAGTTAAAGCGCCCCTGCTGCCGTTTTGAAGTGCGGGATGCTGAATACTTATGATGTCAAGGCAGTTGGAGCATGCTAATTAGCACACTCCAGCAAATTCAATTAATTGAGTCTGCTTCAATGTGTTTTCTGACATGTATATGTGCCCAAGGAGCCTTCAACTTGTAGAAGGGGGAGGGGAACAGCTGCTGCTGCAGCCACACAATCACACTGGTTGTTTCATGGCAACCAGAAGTCACTGTTGCCCCTGTGTGTGACAGCTATACTAGGCACTCAGCCACATAGTTACACCTCTGACTGAGACTAACAGACAGTGCCAACTTTCAGGTATTACCAGACAAGGATGCATTACCAGCAATGACCCACATCATCACCCACTGCCTATAAGTGCATAAGGGGCATGCATCCAGATCTGGGAGAATACCTGTTCACCAGAGCGCCCCAAGGGATGACAAGGTCCAACGGTCATAAACTCCTCCAAGACCATTTTAGGCTGGACATAAGGAAAAACTTATTTACTGTCCAAATCCCCAAGGCCTGGAATAGACTCCTCCCAGAGGTGGTGCAAGCACCTGCTCTGGAATCTTTTAAGAAACGTTTGGACACTTATCTTGCTGGGATCCTTTGACCCTGCTGACTTCCTGCTCCTGGGGCAGGGGGCTGGACTAGATGATCTTCCGAGGTCCCTTCCAGCCCTAATGAAATCAGAGGCCAAAGGCTTCATATTCCATTACTTCTCCCTTGATTAATCTGGTAACATTTTAATTCCTTTTTTGGAAGTACCTTGGGACTGGCTGCTGTGGGTAGAAGTGTCCATCCAAAAAGGAGCATTCAAAGACAACTAAAACTTGGGCAGTTTTAGAACTTCTTTCCATTAGAAAGATCTGCTATTTTAACTGCACTGCTGTAATGAAACTAGCAAAACATCCCTCTTTCAGCTACATGTGTATGGGGTTAAAAATTATTACATTACTATAGCATAGTTTGGTCTGGAAATGGAATAAGCCATATTGGGTTGAGACAAATTTGTACCAGTGTAATGGCATCCATGCAAAGGCTTTTACTGATACAAGCTCAATTTTTTAAAAATTCATACACCTAATTGAAACAGTTTTCCCATCAACATTTTTAAGTGTATACCAAGCCTCACTGATTGAACAGAATGTAATCTTAGGCCTCAAAAAGGCATTCGTTTCTAGCAGTGGAAATTCCTGAAAAATTTGCAGAAATCTAACCAGAAAAGGGAACAGTATAGGCATTCAGCCTACACCTATCTCCTCTCCCCTGCTCTTTGCGCCTTCCCCAGACTTGTCTGTAAGGGGACTGGAGCAGCAGTGCAAACCTCTACCACATCTCCACACTGCGGTCCTGGTCTGGGCAGTGGGTGGGGGCAAGGAGCACATCCAACATCAGTCCAGAAGGGAAATGGAACCAAGCATCTTACCTGCTCCTGAAATGGGGGTGCTGGTCAGGGGAATGAGTAGGGTGCTCTGACCCACTGCTTCACTACCATCCTGGACCAGACCAGGAAGGGAGCACACAAGCATTCCTTCTTGTGATAGAGTTTCTCTTGCAAGGGAGGTCTTCCAGGTTGACACCTGGAATATTCTTCTCCTAGAAGAAGCATGTTTCCCATTGGAATAGTTGAGTGAATGCCCACAGTTTTTACCACAGGAGTGGCAACTCTCCCAATAGAAACATAATACCTGTATGTGATGTACGTGGCCTCAGTCTTTTGGTGTAGTACAATAACTAAGCAACTGAAGTAATTGCACTGTAAGCAGCATTTCTTTCTTTCTTTCTTTCTTTCTTTCTTTCTTTGTTTTTGGGGTTTTTTTTGAATGAACGAATGAAACAAATGCGACTGACTTGAGCTGATTTTTGTCACCTGTCCCATACATCTCTAGCTCTTCTGTATAACCATAGTAGTATTACCAGCCTGGGCTATTTTTAGCTGAACAATAAACAAACGCTTTGAAGATCTTTAATAATTACAAGCCAAACATCAACTGCAAAACAAAGCAGAGGAAAATGACAATATTAGTAAAACAAAGAAAACTGAAGCAGCCCTTGGACACTGTGCTAACAGAAGGTTATCCCTGAGGCCTAACTTTAAACCTGCAATGGAAATCTTGAAGGAGGTAAAAGTATCAAAAAAGAAATTAACTTTTTTTGTAGGCCAAGCAAAGGTAGAAAAATGCACAATCCCTGTTTATTTAATACTTCTGGCACTAGAGGTACTATAAAAGCTTCTTTAAATGCTTATAGGCCCTGATACTGATTGGATCCTGCAGATGCTACCTAAATACAAATGCAAAACAGTAAAAGCTTAATGGGATTGTTAGACAAGGTATTGAAGAGACCTGCATTCCAGATCCTTAATTTCTGCTCATTACCTGAGGGGATAATTTCCTCCCTTCCTAGGCCACAGTGAAAGCTGTTGCTTCTACTTAAAATAAAAATATAATGCTGAAGGCTGCTCTCCAAAGGATGTGAACTACTGTAACACTTACCATATGGAAAGCTTCATTTTCCCATTTTAAAACAGATACTGCAGCTACCCTCTTTCCTGAGACACAGACTAAAAGAAAGGAAGCCACTGAACAGGTATCATTGCTGCTTTACAAAATGCTATAATTGTTCTAAGTTTTCACTAGTTCAGTTTAATCCAACATAAATGTTTTCTGGTATAACAGGGTTACAGCTCATAAATAACATCATAAGCATAATCCTCAAGACTACTGAATGTCTCATAAACCTCTTTGTGACCAAAAAAGGGAGAACTAAGTCCCACCAGAAAACATTTTCACGTGGTTTCTTTAACATGAGACTGAGGCTATTTCTGATTATGGTAGGATAGATGTCACTATGTGCCAGATGCAATCCATACACTTTGGAGGCTGATCCCTGCTCAGAAGAGCAAATATGAAATGTATGCAGGATGGGAAGAGCCATCATTAAGCAGCTAGCATACTGAGGCCACTAGTTATTGTGTTGGCCAATCCTGTCTCATTGTCTCTTATGGGCCCCCATTTGTTTGGCTGTATTATCTTGTTGTCTCTTATCTTATATTTAGATTTTAAGTTCTTTGTGGCAGGTAATTTCATTCTATTCCATGTTTGCTCAGTGTATGGCACCATGGAGCCCAAGCCTATGACTACAGTACTAAGTGCTAACTACAATACAAATAATAAATAATAACAATCCACTAGCAGAGTATTCAGAATGATGACTGGCACACACACGTTACAGCCTTTTACCTTATCGGGGTTGATTTAATGGCATAATTGTCTCAAGCTGCTTTGCTAGCTAGTGATTATTCTTCAGGATGTTTAGCCACAATCCTGGAGAGAGAGTACTGGTGGGCCCTTGCCTCAGACTGCTCCAGCTATGCTGTATCCTGAGTGTCCAAAGATAGGGAAGGAATTTGCTTGCTGCAGTCCCCTTCAGAGTAGGAAACCAACACTCCCTCTGTGTGTGACTAGCTCTGCTTGTGTATCCTCCCTCACATTTCCCTAGTGCTAATTTGCTCTCTGCTGCTCAACACTGTCTCTGGGGTGGCCAGCACCTGAGAGTCCTAAGTCATAGTAGTCTCAGAGTTTGGACAGTAAAGTGGCTCTCTGACTGCAGCTGGCTTGTGAACAGGAGACAAGATCAAACTAAGGAGACTTCTTGTCAGCCTGTAAATAAAGACTGTAGGACTGTTCCTCTGCTAAACTGGGGAAAGGGTATGGGGTAGGGAAAATATATGCTTTTAACAACGAAGCAGATCTCATAAAAATGCATTTAATATAGGTCTCACTAATATTTAGGTTGTTGGCTCAATGGCAGAATGTGACACTCATTTACTTTTTTACAAACTGACTTTTCCTACCATCTCTGACTTTCCCTGTGCAAGATGAAATTTCTTTTCTACCTGGGATAAATTTTACAATCTTTGAATTCTCCTTTGCCTGAAGAAGGGTGTGTGGGCCCAAAAGATTGCAAATATTTTTTTTTTGGCAATTATTTAGTTTATCTAACAAAAGATATCACCTCTATCCCTAGATTTTTGTCTGCCTATGGCTTTAGACCAACATGGCTACAACCAATATCCCTGACATTCACTTAATTTTTCTTTTCAATACTTACGACTACTTTTGATGCACATGTGTCCTCTGAAAGGGCCCATCATGGAATACTTAGGGACCATGGCTAGCTGTGATCCTTGAAAAGAAGGAAATTATAATGAATAGCTGTTTATAAATCAGGAAATATTAAGAAAAATTAAAAGTATCAAAGTATCTCAGAGCCAGAAGATGCTTTGGGAGGAATACTCCCTTGAAATCAGTACATTCAAATAATGCTGAGATGAGTATTAAGGGACTTGGACTCCTGAGAGCACTCCTAGCTCAGATATTTTGTATCTGTTTTCCTTATAAAACAGTTCAGTAATCTTTACTCTCTTGTACAGGGGTAGAGAAAGGCTTAATTATTTAATGTTATAATGTCTTTCAAAACCCAAATCAAAAACAATTATAATGGAAAATCATTTATTATATTAAGAATCGTCCTGCCTTGCAAAGACTCCATAAGATTCCAGGTATTGAGATCTGGAGAACCAGGAAAGCCGATTCAGCACTGGAATGATCCCAAACACATAGAATACAACTAAAAGCAACCTGCAGTAACGTATGTTGCTTCTCCATCCTCTTTGTGTCACTCCCACAAAGGGGTTCAGGAACAAGATTTGGTTTAAAAACCATTGGACATCATGACTCTTATAGGTATCATGCTGTCCTACCAGTGGCAAAGAACCAGGAAGGAAAAGACAGAGTTGGGCACATCCTTGCATGAAGGCAAGAATCTGATCTTTCCTTAATAAGATAGGGAGAAATTTCCAAAGGCATAAAGGGGAGTTATATGCCCACCTCCTATGGACTTTAAATATGGAGTGTATTTGAAGTACCCCCTACTTGTTCCCAGCTATGATACCGTTACTGTTTGGCATGAACATTTTGATTGTCACTATTGAAAGAAATTTCTGCTATAGCAGCATCTGTATGAGAATTCCCTGTGTGGAACAGAAATGTATAATACTAACATTTATATAATGTGACATGATATATTATTATGCAAGAAGTACTTGGAAGTACTGTGAAGCATAAAAACCATCATGATACTCATGTAATATGATTCATATTGAGGGTGAACAGTGTAAATAATATAACAATATTGATTTTTAATTTTATATATATAGCTATATAAAAGAGCATGGCACAGACACCTAAAGCAAAACACTGAAATTAGCTCTTCACCATCGTAATACTGAGGTAACTATAAGCACAGAAACTGAAAGGAGTATAAGAATTCTGCTGATGTCATGAAGGAATATTATAATGTTTCACCTGTTGTGACAGTTGAAATGTATTTAAAAAAAAGGCATGATGTAACTTTTGGAAGAAGCAAAATGATTTATAAGCCTAAATCTCATTTCTCAGAAATGACTTGGGTGCACAGAAGCCCACATCTCACTGAAAATTGGTCAGTTTTACTCTCAAGTGTACAATAGTTGGATTTTCCAAATCATGCAGGTACCTAACTCCCTAACATCTGACACCTAAATTAATGGTGCCTAAATAACATAAAAATCTGACCTTGAGTCACTTGAAAATGAGACACAACAGCTTGAGACATGCACAGTAAAATTTTCAAAAGTATTTAAGTACCATTTTCAAAAGAAACCTGGTTTACCTGGGAAAGTTATTTCATTGAAATCTATTTTAATCGGCTTTTAAACTGGTACAAACAACACCGTGGATAATCTTATTTCACTATTAGAGAGCTTAATCTAAACTATACCCAGCCATCCTAAGACTGAAGTAAATATAGTCATACAATCATTTGCAGCAGTTTAACTATTACTCTTTAAATGTATACCTTAGGTATCATATTTATTATGTGAGCACTTGGGGATCTAAGGCTTATTGTGCTTAGGCTTCAAGTGCTTGGCAACATACTGTTGACATATCAATATGTTGCACAATTTTAACTTAAGTCAGGTAGTAAGAATTGATATTGGACATTTTTTTTTTGAGCTGCATGAGATCCTTTCCCTGGCAGGGGTAAGCTACCATCATGCCAGGGTGGAGTGAATGCTATCACTGATGGCAAAATTAACAAAACTCTTCTTTGACTTGGAGGCATAATTTTAGCTTACAGCTTCTAGGGACCTCCAAGACTTTCCTTTAACATCTAACAGAGGACTACGCCTGATTTCAGAGGGTGGTGCTCCGGGCATTCGGAAATACAGGCTCCTTCTGGTGCAGCACATTTGAACACTAAGGGCCCCTCTACACATGCACATAAAGGTACAATGGGATCTAATGCATTATCCACACAAGTGTGCCTCCTGCTGTACCACACATGCATGGCAGGAAGCACAACTGTGGGATCATGCATTTGATCTCATTGCACTTTTTATCGCCAGTGCTGGGGAAGCCTAGGATCATGATCCTGGGTGCCACCTGCACTGGCTCCGAAGGCTGCAAGCCCCACAGCTAATGGGACTTGGTTGGCATCAGAACCCTCCAAATCGATTTGGAGAGATTCAATGATTCAGACATAGACACAGCTTTAAATGTTTTTTCTACATACCTCAAGGTACCAGGTGGCTCGTGAACGCTGAGATGGTGGGGTGAATGGAGCGTCCCACAGGAGCACAGGGGAGGTCCCCAGTGTGCTTGGTGGTGGACCTGGAAATGGACCAGAAGCACTTCCGGTCCACTTCCTGGTCTGCTGCAGAGGACCTTCCCTCTTCCCCCTGGCTTGGCAACTGGTGCCTCCTGGATCTGGGCAGGCACCCAGGGTCCCCCTGTGGCCGATCACCAAGCTGGGGGAACAGGGGTTCCCTGCATGCTCAGCAGTGGACCTGGAAGTGGACTCAGAAGGTTTCCGGTCCACTTCCAGGTCCGCCACCAAGCATGCAGGGGGAGGCCCCCGTGCTCCTGTGGGACGCGCCATCTGCCCCACCATTGCAACATTCATGAGCCACACCTGGTACCTTGAAATATGTAGAAAAAACATTTAAAGCTGTGTCTATGGCCGAATCGCTGATTCTCTGAATCAGCATCAAATCTTCAGATTTGAATTCAGCCGAATCGAATTGGGACAATGATCTGAATCAACTAATCGAATCACTGTCCTGGATTCGGGCCGAATCCAAATCGAACACGGCCCATTTCGCACACCCCTAGTCAACATTAATTCTGCAGCAGAATAATATTTACAAATACAAGTACTATCCTGCTGTGGACTGTTTTACTCTGCAGCACCGCACATGTAGATGCTGCTCTGGCTGGCTGGGGCATGACGGTACTTCAGTGCAGTGGCTACCTGCTGGCTAGCCCCACACTGGAGTATCCTCACACCCAGCCAGCCCCTTCACAGCACATTGAGCCAGGAGGGAGCAGCCCCAGGCTGGCAAGCTGACCCCTGGGGCCCCCTGCCAGCTGGGGCAGCTGCATTCTGGTTCAATGTGCTGCAGTCACAGGTACACACTCAAACAGAGCACCCAGGAGCAATAATCTCCAGAACAATATGCTCCAGAGTTATTCCATGTGTAGATGTGCCCTATTTGGACCAAATCTTGCTATCTCCTTTGAGTCCTAACATAAGCTAAACCTTCACTGAAACTAAAGTGAGTTAAGCCCGACTAAATGCTTTCGGATTCTGTGGGGAGAACTTGATAATAGTCTTTAAATATAAAGTGGATTGTTGCAAAGAGGATGATGATCAACTCTTCTCTCTGCCCAGAGGAGAGAGGACAAGAAGCAATGAGCTTAAATTGCAACAAGGGAAATTTAGATGGGATATTAGGAAGAATTTTGTAACTAAAAATGTGGTTAAATACTGGAACAGATTTCTTAGGGAGATGATGGAATCTCTGTCATTTGACATTTTTAAGAGCAAATTAGACAAACATTTGTCTAGAACTGTTTAGATAGGGATAACTGTGCCTTAAGCAGAGGAGTGGACTAGAGCACCTCCTAAAGTCCCTTCCAGCCCTTTGTTTTATGTAATCCCATCTAATTAATACCTTTTAATTAAGAAATAAAGGTAGTTCTTCATTTTAGAAGAACTTCATATATAACCATAGCAGGATGTGTACAAAAGGAAGTTCTCTCAGTTCCAAGATGACAGATCACAGTATTTAAAGCAAATTAAAAATAATTATTTTGCAATCATTTTTGTTAATTGGTACATTTGAAGGCATTCTGATCATTAGATCATCCTTATAGTACAGTGTATTAACATGCAAAGAAGAATTTTCTCTGTTCCATCATTTAACATGTACCCTGCACTGCATGTTCACAGAATTTAAAATATTATTATTAATCATATTCATCATCTTTTTATTCCTTCTGGGGGAGCATCAGTAAATTATCTCTGGGGAAATCAGAGTTTTCAGAATTCTATCATTTTTGTGAAAGAGCTGTAGATGAAAGGACAGAGTTAAGGTCATTATATTTAAGGAGGACTATTATTCACATGCAAATTTGTTAGAACAGGAGGCGTTATGATTATTTATTTTGGTCTCATTTTATCTTGAAGTACTTGTGTGGTGGTTACTTAACCAAGACTTGAACCTGAAAAAGAAAAAAAAGAATGACAAATTGTCCTGAATGAAGGCTAACTAAAAACTAAGTAAAAATGTCCAAAGGTGTCACAGTTAGACCCAAGAAATGTAACTAATTTAAAGATAGGCTTTTATAAGTGTACATGCAATGTATACTATAAAATCTGTGTAAGTACTGTGACTGTATACACAGCCTTCATACTTGCAAATAGTGTGGTATCTTATTTGTCATTTGCACATGTAATTATAACAACCGGTCATGCAAATATGCTTTTGTTGCTGTTGTTATTATTTGAAAAACAGTAACTTCTAGAGTCCTCACTTAAACCATTTCCCTGTAGACCCTACTCTAGATAAATGCAAAGTTGGAGACTGTCTATATCCCAAAGAACTCACAATCTAAATAGATAACCCAGATAAAAGGGTGGGAGAAAAAAATGTTAGAATCATTGTATGGCTTAGTAGAGTTGGGGGACAATACAGAACCCCATGCATAGTGGCTACATAGGTGTACAGTTGTTGCATATTGATGCAGTCGAATCATACAGTTAATCATGGAGCCCATGTTAGCCTGGGGTGAAAAACTGGGAAACTTCCAGGCAATGCTATGGTAAGGAGAGGCAGCACCCCATGTGTGGTAACTGCATTAGTACAGTTGTAGGATTTGAAGGCATTCTTAGGCAATGACTTCAGCATGCGGTATATAATCCTCATTTTAGCAATGAAGTTGTAATTCTCATAATTACTATCTCCATAATAATTAGTATCCTCATTTTAGCCATGAAGAAATGACCCAGGAAGCAATTAAGTGATTTGTTCCTGGTTTCTCAGAAAATTGGTGGCAGAGAAATAAACCTAGCTTTCCTGAGTTCATGATCTTAACTCCATACATTCTGCACACATATCTAAATCCTGAAGATATGATGCATTAGGTTGCTTTCTCCATAGAAAGAGAGGTTTCATTCACAATCAGCACTTATAAACAGTAGCTTAAAGCTCGGACCATAAGGCTTTGCTATATGTCATCAAAGTGGTATGGGAGTAAGAGAGGGAAAAATGTTTCCAGGAAACATTTTTATGTTCAATTTCAGCTCCTGTAAATTTCATGCTTCCCAGCTGAAAGAAAGGAGCCAATGCAATAGCAGTCTTGGACTCTCCAGATATGCTCAAGTTCATTAAAAAAATGTTCAGTTGATCACCTGCTTCCATATACTCTTCCACATATGCCACCTTGGCAGCCAGTGACTACCAAATCACTGAAACAATTGAAACTGCATGACACAGAAATCAGCACAACTGCATTTCTTGATTCAACAGTGTTCTTAAACGCATGCTTCGCAGGCACAGGATGAGCTTGAAAATTATTCTAATACTATTCCTAAAATAATGTAATGGCTGGAGTCACCAGAAGGCACTGTTATAGTAAGGGACAACTACATTTCAGATTACATACGGTGTAGAGATACTTGAGACAGATTTAGTACCAGAAGCAGTCTAGCCATGGCAGCATATAAAATAATAAGGGCCAATTTATCCTGCTCCTCAGGAACTGGGCATTGCTGGGTTTACCCAAATACTTTTTATGACAATCTCTGCATAAAGACTAGTGCATATACACAAACAAACAAATTACATTAAAAATAAGCCCCTGGCATTGATTTCCCAGGAAACTAACCTATACTACTAATGCAGGGGTTTTCAGCCTTTTTTAACTAGTGTATCCTTTCTGGTGGCGGCAGCCAGACACATGGGGGGCGGTGGGTAGCGCCGCCCCTGCCAGCTGCCCCCACGCCACTTTTTTCCATAGCTGGTCACACATGAGGCTCTGCAGGCTGCTGATGGGCCTTGCGACTGGCCAAATGCGCGCTGCCCATCAGCAGCCTGCAGAACTGCATGTATGACCGGCTGTGGGAAAGCAATGTATGGTGGTGGCACAGGGTGGTGGGTGGCTGCAGTACTGGCTGCTACATGCAAGCCCCTCCCCCCACATCCAGCCAGCTGGGTGGCACCTGTACAGCCTGCAGAGGGGTACCACTGCCCTCACCCCACCCCCGCCCTCAGGCTACCTTTGCCCCCTGCAGCTCTGCTCCTGGGAGGCAGCAGCACAGGGTGGTGGGTGGCAGCAGCAGCTGCTGTGTGTGAGCCCCCCTTCCCCATGTCTGTTCACAGAGCGGAGCCTCCTTGCCATTGGTTATTGGCTGAGGGTGGCAGCCAATCAGGAAGGCAAACTGGGGTGTGAGGTGGGGAGGCACTACGGTGTGCCGTGTGGGGCTGGTGGTGCCTGAAGCACCCCTCCCCTGGGTAAGAGGCAATGTGTGGGAACATGGCAGAGAAGACTCTGCACCCTGGGGTGTGCTCTGTCCCTGCCTACCTGCATGTACCCACAAAAACCTTTCCAAGTACCCCTAGGTGTATGCATACTCCTGCTTGACAACCTCTGTACTAGAGGAATGACCATAATGAGTTCCAAACCTAGTGGGTTGTTATTTTTATTTAATGGTGTTTCTTGCCTGTGTTATTTATGTTCACTTTCTTTGAATTTTCTGCAGTTTTATATCACCTGCACAGACCCACTACACCTGGGAAAAACCTTCCAGCAGCTGTTTGTTTCTATGGCCACTTTAATTTTTACAGTCTAATTGAAAAAAATCAATAAATAAATGTGTAGCAAATTTACACCTGATTACTGTGCAGTTATGCATGTGTAGATGCGACCACATGTAGCTGTGATACTAGGGGTCTGGCCTGAGGCTAGCCTCAGGGCTCCAAGCTGGGAGCCTCTCCTGCCCTAGGGCTGGGCTGCCTCTATGCCAGCCCCTCCCTCAGGCCTTTAAAAAAGCCTGCAGGCACTCAGAGCCCTGGGACACACCAACGGGGAGCCTGAGGCCACTCCAGACCCTTGTGACTCCCTGGGCAGGCTGCAGGGCAGCCGTCCTAAGCTGCCTGCACCCCAGCGCGGCTGCCAGAGCCCCGCCATGCAGTCCTGCAGGCTGCTGCAGGCTCCAGCCAGGCCTGCCAGCTCACAGCGGCAGGCAGCAACTGGATGCTGGAGTCAGTTTCACCTGCCTGCAGCCCACCCTCAGCATGGAGATGCTTTGGGGCATTACCTCTGCCCCACATTGGCGCTTTGCTGGTGTTTTGGGGCACACTGGGCCCCTGTGCCAGGTATTGCAGGCAGCCGTCCAGGCCCAGTGGCACAGGGATTGCTGCTCAGGGGCCCAGACAGCCAGTGTGGATCGATGATGGCATCCTCATCCATGGCCATGGACACACCCATGCCCAACACCCAGGGCCCCAACTGGTCCAATGAAGGAGACTGGTGACCACTTGGCACTGTGGGGCAAGGCAAAGATGCAGCACCAGTTCAAGTGGGCTGGCACTCCAACACCCATGTCTATGAGGGGCTGTCAGCCTGGATGTGGGAGTGCGGGCACGACTGGTTGTCATGGCAGTGCCACATAAAGATCAAGGACTTGCGAGCACAGTGGGTTTCCATTGGTTGGGGAATGCCCAGAAGTCCATGTCCTTTATGCAGGAAATGACAGACATGCTTGCACTCCAGGACTCAGGCTGCGGCCATGCTGTCTATAGCAGCACAGGCGCCTTGCCCAAGCACCTGCCCTGGCCTGACAGCTCTGGTGACATGTCACCAAAGGAGGGCCCTTAAGGTGTCTAGCAGCCTATCCTGCTGAGCTCCCCAGCTGCACCCTGCAACAGCAACTTGGGGAGCCCAGGCCAGCGCCTGCCGCAGAAGCTCCGCAGTCCCAAACAGCTATGTCACTGCCACACCCCACCATCCGAGGACACTGCCCAGAGCTGCACGCTGTCACCAACAGCTGTGACTGGGCGGAGCTGACAGCCATGCCAGCCCCAGCCATGAAAGTGGGCCCTCCTCGCCCCTACCCCTTCCCCCCCCTCTGTACTTCCCTGGCCTCGGCTTTCCCCCCCACACAGCATGCAAGGAAGTGGGAGACAGTGCCAAACTTTATTGAGCAACCCATGCCCCTGCACCTAGGTGGGCATAAGCCTCTCATGCTGAGGAATATGTCAATTCCAGCAGCAATTTCCTTTTCAGCAGCGGGGAGCAGGGACGTGTAGTGTAGCCATCCAGGCGGCAGCAGAGGTTGCAGGGCAGCCTGGGCTTGCCCCCCATACTGTCATACCTCAGGGTCCTGTACCAGGTACACAGGTGCACCTGAGGCACTATGGCCAGCAGCAGCAGCAAGGCATAGTGGGTCAGGCATCCCTTGGTCCATGCAAACAGGTTCTTGTGCATGGCCCAGGGCATGTGCAGCAAGGGCATGCTTGGGATGCAGCAGCAGCATGGGGGGGCTGGCACCGGGGCACCTCCTTGGAGAGGCCCCTTGTGGGCAGGGTGGGATGCAGGCAGCTTCTCATCCCAGTTGTCCAGGAGCCCTATGCCCCCTGAGCCCAGGCACTGTGGGCTGGGTGGCAGTGCAGCAGAGCAGTTGGCCTTCAGAAGAAGGGGGGAGAGCAGGGTCTGAAGCCATAGCAGGAGGTGCTGCCAGGAGCCTGGCTTGTCCCGTTGTGGGAACGGGGCGGAGGAGGCAGGCTGCCTGTGGCCAGCACCCAGCGGCCTGACAGCCCCAGAGGAGCAAGCAGGGAAGGGGGGCTTGGCCAGTGGCTGCCTGACCCCAGGCCTGCCAGGCCACCTTACCATGGTCCCTGGCCACCTGTGCATATCTGACCCCCGAGTTTAGGGCTGGGCAGCGCACAGCCCTGGGTACAGAGCATCTTATCTCAGATATGTTGCAAACTCTGACAAACAGCTTCTGTCTTATGGCTCTTCAGGGGCTGCTGCTATGCATGGGGGAGAGGCCTCCCTTGGCAGCTTTGAGGCCTCAGGGTCACCAGCACCCACAGCCAGGGCCCCATGGATGTGCCAGTTCCACCAGAGAAGGACCCTGAACAGGACCCTCCTCCTGGACTGCTTGGTCATGGCATTGGAGGACCAGCTGGGGGACACTCGGGCCTGGCAGGTGGAGGATGTGGCCTGCCAGGACAGGTAGAGGACACTGGCTGGGAGAAGGTGCGGGACCAGGTGGACCGGAAGTTCTGGGCAGCTCCTAGCCCTGAAGTGTGAACAGGTGGAGACACTGGAAAAACACAATGCCATCCTAGCCCAGACAGTTCAGGCCACCGATGATGACTGCCAGGTGCTGGACACTGTTCTGACACTGGTGGTCACCTTCATGCCACCCGCTACCCAGCCCCTGACCCTAACCTTGCCTGCTCCCTGGTAGTCACCCACTGTCCTCCTGTCATTGCCTAAGAATGCCCTCATGTGGGCATGGGAGGAGGTCCTGAGCTGCCTCCAGGAGCCCCTGGCCCAGCCCCTGCCCTGGGTCTGGTACAATCCAGCTCCCCTGCCCCTGCCTGGGCCCAGCCCTGCCACTTGCCTTGCCTACAAGCAGGTGTGGAGCAAGAGCTGCCTGCAGTGAGGTCAGGACCCTGCATAGCATGTCATCCCTGCTGGGCCTGGACACCAGCTGCTGGAGGGGGAGCCACCTGAACAGGGGAGCACCAGCTACCATCACATCTGGGAGAGCCCCCCACCCACCACACTTGCCATAGCATGTGTATCCATGGGGGAGTAGCCAGAGGCTGGGGTGCTGGCCACCTGTCTCCGGGCTCTCCCACCCCAGGATGACACAAAAAGGACATTGAACAAAGTTTTTAAGGGGAAGAATATGTTTTATTGTTGGTGGGAGAGGTGGGTGAAGGAGGGGCTCTGTTTAGTGGGGGGGGAGGGGCTCTGTTTGTTGGCGAGGGAGGGGAGTCTGTTTTGATGCGAGGGGAATAAAAACTGTAAGACATGTCTGCAGTGAGTGTGGTGCTGGGGCTGGATGTGGGGGGTGGGAGGTCTATGGGCAGTGATACAGGTGGGCTAAAGTAGGGAGTGCTGGAGGAGGTGGTTGGCCAGCACCTCCTGTACCTGGTGCTCTGGCCCCCATGGGTGGATGCACAGCTCTCCTGGGGCCTTGGCTGCTGCCACCACAGGTGGTGCTCCTGATGCCAGGTGTCCTGCGCGTGCCATGCCTCCACTGCCCAGGCCTGGCGGATAAGCTCCCCCTGGGCCTCACAGATGTTATGCAGCACACAGGCCGTGATGATGACCTGGGGGAGGTTGTCCTCAGTGAAGTCAAGGCAGGTGGTGGGGGTCCATGTGTGGCCCGTGTAGGGCTGCATGAGCCAGGGCAGAAGTGCTGATGGTCCCTGATGAGGAGGGGTGGGACCACCACATTTTCAGCACCACTGGTGTGAAGCACCCACTCTCCACCAGGCCCGGCAGGCTGGAGTTCCAGAAGATGCAGGCATCATGGGCACTGCCAGCTCAGCTGGTGCTCACGTGTGTGAAGTCACCGCAGTGTTCCACGATGGCCTGGAGGACCATGGAGCGAAAGCCCCTCTGGCTATAGTAGAGGTTTTCTCTGTGGGGCAGGCAGGTGACAGGGATGTGGGTCCTGTCAAAGGCCACACTGCACTGGGGGAATCCCAGGGAATGGACCCCCACAACCAATGCCAGGGGGTCATGCATGCAGAGCATGTCCTGGAGGGTGCCCCAGCATGTCCTGGAGGGTGCCACAGACCTCTAGGATGACCTCCCTGGCAGTGGCCTTGCAAACACAAAACAGGTGGCTGACATACTGCAGGCTGGTGGGTGCAGCCAGCTTCAACGGAGCGCAGGCCAAGCGGGTATCTGCAGAGAGGGGCAGACACATGTTGGTGTGTTGTTGCTCCAGGTATGGTCAGAGCTGCTTCAGGTCTAGGAAGGTGGCTTGGGTCTTGCAGAAGGCCTCCAGCCACTACTCATTGTTCCAGGTATGCTGGACAACATGCCACCGCCAGTCCTGACTGGCCCAGCAGGTCCAGGGGTGGTGGGACTGGAGGCCCAGGAGGGCAGCCCCAATGGTGGCATCCTGGAGCCCATCGTCAGTGTCTCTCCCAGGCCTGCTCCAGCCAGGCAGATGGAGTGTAGGTAGCAGGTGCATGGTGGTGCCCCTGGGATGCCATCCCTGCGCTGGACCTGCTGCTCCTGGCCAGGGTAGTGGCTGGGCAGAGAGCAGTGAGCGGGGCTGCCTTTTGAAGAGGGCTGCTAGCTGCTGGCAGCTGCAGCTGGAGCCCCCATTGCAAGGCCCCAGGAAACAGGAGCAGATTAGCAGCCAATCTGCTTTCTCTTCCCTACATGTGTAGATACTTGTTCAGAACCATTTACTTACAAGTAATTTATTTGTGAATAAACCGGTGCTGTATCAAATACACATGCAGACGTGTCCACTTTAATGTATTTTTTCAGAAGTTATTTTAGAGAAAGACTCAGGTTAAAAACTGTATGAAGGAAAAATCTGATATTTCTTATAGCAGACAGATAACTCTCTATGGAATTCTTTTGATTGCCTATAAAAGATGGAAAATACTAAAAGGTGAAAAGAGAACATCAGAAGTTCTATGTGGAAGTTACAGAAAACAGGATGTACTTTGCTTAGTTCCACATAACAATAGTAATAATGAACAGATATAACAAGACAGATAATGGCATGCACAGAAAGGATGAGGCAGAATCTCCCTTAATCTTTAGAATTAAATACAATATTAAGACAATCTAAAAGAATGAATCAAAAGCAGAAGGCTGTGGTAGTTACTGCTGTGAGAAGGGA